ATATATATATATATGAGAAAGATGATCCAGAAAAAAAGTTAAACCATACTCTAAACCCCTTGCATAAATGTGGCACATAAGCACGTAATAAAGAGTAGTTTTAACCCATGTTTGACATCCTTAAAATTTTAAAAACATTGTTTTGAATAGTGTTTTTTTTTTTTGAAGAATGTGATTAAAAAGTAGGGAAAAGTTTTGGATTTACATGTAGAATATTTGATTGTGTGAATGTGTAGTTGAATAGGAATATAAGAAATAAATTAAATTAAAATAAAGGAAGTCAAACAGTGGCTTAGCAATGAGTGCAGGCCGAGAATTGGAAGGTATAAATCTCAGAAGCACATCAAAAGCTCATATGCTCAAAATTAGGTTACTAGTCTTTCACCGTTCGAGTAGAATTTCTACATCTCTTAAGTATTGTAACAAAAGTGGACATACCTTATCAAATCGAAGATGGAGGACAACAAAGTTTCCAGTTCCTTGCTTGCTTTTAGCATTGCTAACATCTTTAAAATACTTAGTACCAACAACTTCATTATCACCAGGAGGATATCTGAGACGGTTGATGAGAGCATCTCCAAGTTCTCTGATGCGAGGAACAAAAACTAATGCTTGAAAGTTGACCTTGCACCGTAGACGTTGGATGTCCTTGGGCATGTTGTCAAATGCCAGTCGGTGAGAAAACGGTGCAATTGCAGCAATACCATAACTGGTCAATCCAGGGATAATACAATCACAACCAACATTTTGAAAATGGAGCAAGAACTATAAGAAGAGATCTACTGCAGGTTCAGAAGCCAATCATGTAAACCAATAAACATTGTTATGGATTACACCCTAGTCCAGTATTCCTACTTCTGAGAGCAATAGTAGAGCAAAATACAGAGATTTATAGAAGTTCATCCTCAATGTGAGAGCGGGAAGTTTTCACCATATTGCAGAAGAAGTGTACTCTCTCTCTCTCTCTCTCTCTCTCTCTCTCCATCTATGTCTTACCAAAAACAGCTCCCTAATAAATCCTTTATATGGTAGGAATATTAGGCCGATCTGCAGTCAAGGGGTTATTGTAGAGTCTAATTAGGCTTCAATCAGTCCAACAAACACCACCACCAATTTTATTATAGTGAGGAAAACTAACAAAAGAACTACAGTATGGAACCCTTTGCAGAAGATTTTAGGATGAGAACTTTTTTTCATTGAATCAGCTAACTCAATTTTTGTTCCCATTAAGAAAACGTAACTATAATTTTCAATTGTCAACCATCTCAAATTAAATAGATTCCAATTTTACCGTCATCATACTAATGAAAATCACTCTCTAAGTAATCAAGGGTACTAAAGACTTTTATTTAAAATGCTTGTTTGTTATTTCAGGGAACTAAATATTTCATTTCATCTTAAACAAGCTAGCCTTTATGTTTATGTACTTGAAATTATAAACTTTCAGATGAATCATGTTACATTCTAGATAAACAAAATCAATGGAAGACCTGTATTGTTTAATATTAATTTCAAAGCTTCAGCAAAAAAGTAAAAGAAATATCTTTTTATTACCTTTCCAGGACAGGCAAGACATTGTCGATATACCAGTTTGCTGAAGCATGAATAGGTGCTGTTTTAATTCTGTTAGCCCGAATGGCTGTAGCATAATATTCCCGTGTGCTCCAAAAGAATTCGTCGGGCAACTCTTTAACTATAGATACTTCGTCTTTCAACACATTAATGAAGTGATCCACATCAAATATATCCAAGAAAGTGCTACAGAAGGAGAAAGAAAAATACACTTTTCATTACTTCTCCAAACACAAAAAAGTAGGAGTTTCACCCTAGAAAAATATCAGGAACAAATTGATAGGCTTAATGAGTAGAACCTTGAGTCTTGCCAAACAGAGTTTACTTCAAGGTAAGGGATCACAAGAGTTGCATTCAAAATTTTAGCAACAGCCACTGCATCACAAATCTTAGAATAGAGAGGGTACATATCAGTGATCAAGAAGCCGAATAATTACATAATCCAAGAAAGAAAAACAGTATGACATGTTTGGTAAATTGTTTTAAATAGTACTCAGTAGTATTGAGACAAAAGAAACTAAAATTCATATTCATTGTAGTGCGCAATGCGGTCCAACACTACAAACCAAGCATGCACACAAAGTATATAATTTATTGATCCCTAAGTAGCTTAAGAAGTGCCAAATGTAAAAAGCATACAACACATACCCCCATCCTCTGCTGATTTAGTCCTCCATCAAGGAAAACCTGAATATATCCTTGAGAATATTCTGGCAAAGCTGCATGTTAAAAATGATCAGTGATTCAGAATATTTTGAAATGCATACTTTTGCAACAAATACATACCCCGTTATTTAATAAAAAGACTTGAGAATCAATGAAGAAACTAAAATTTCATCTATGACCAATTTTTGGCTGATACTATTACAGTATTACTCACTGGGGAGTGTGTCAGATTCAACACAGGGTTTCCATCCTTGGTCGACCAAAGGCATCCATAGCTCAGCCTTTTTTTCATCAGACTGAAAAAAGGAAAAAAGTGAATAAAGTAACATTCATATCCCAAATGACAATTTTATAGAGGGAAATACATGCATCTAATAACACAGTAAACGCTTACTCACAGTTTGGTGTTGTATAGCACTCTTAAGTAGTTTTGAGTGCCTAGGTTTTGGAGCATTCTGTTCCTGCATAAGCGAATTAGATTATGATGAATGGATCCCCCTTAATCGAAAAAATGAATTCTACCAAATAAAGAGTAAGCTTCAGTTGGCAAAAGATTAGTGTCACAAATTTAAATGTTTACTCCTGTTAGTTATGAGATTCTAGAATGAGCAACAAACCCTTGATAAGCTATAATTTCATCTAATGCTCCCTCTTCTGGAGTATTCTGCTAACATCATGCCACTCTTATTCCCTTTAACTTTACACAAAATGTGTCTGGGCAACCCACGTGTTCATCCCTTCGTAACGCGTGTATCTCCATCCATGCCCAAAGAATGACCTTTTACCGGTAAATATACGAGTAAACATTCCCTCTAATCTAATAATAAGCAAACAAATCTTTGTCATTTACTGTTCTACTTTATCATAATATAACTGAACGTGTCAAATATTTTGCAACACCAAACACTCCCCCACTTTCCAAGCTTCGAAAAACGACCCAAAATTTCTCCATCTTTCCATGTTCGGCAAAATAGCTAAATTCTAAAACCACGGCCATTACATTTTCCTCCTTGTACTAATTATCGCTGCAAATCTTGAAAAAAATAAAGAAGTAATTGCTCAATTAAAAGATTTCACAAGGTAAAATCGAACTACAGCAACGAAGCTAATAAAAATAAATAAAAGATAGTCAAATCCCCCTAAAAGCCATACCTTTATGAGAATTTTTTGTCCATTTTCACAAGAAACCATAATACATTGAAGAACACAAGTTCCCTCCCCTCTCTTCTACAACTATTTCCCTCAAACCAGAAAATATATCAACAAATATAAGCAACACAATCAAAGCCCAAAAATCCCATTAAAGGAAAAACGGAAAGCACATACATAGATCAATTTGTAAATCAAGAAAAATCCCCCACAAAAATAAAATAAAAAAAGGAAACTGAATCAAGAAGATACCGAGAGAATGGAGGGTGAGGCATGGCTCAACGGAGTGAAAAGACTGGCAAACAAAACGGGCAGCAGCAGCAACACGATGACAGTAGTCATGGCTCCTCCTGTTGCTATAACAGTAATATAAAAATACTTTTATTAAAGAAATTGGGTTTTTTTAAGGCTTAACCTTGGAACCTTTCAATAAAGTAACTTTCATGGAGGAGAGAGAATATAAAGAGGATACATCTTCATTATTAGTCTCAGTAAAAGCATGTCAAACGCGCACCTATCGCCACACACACACACAGTGATATACATCGGACCAAGAAACAGCTCGACTATGAATGTAATATATTCTATTTCATTATGTTGGGTGTCTTTTTCCCAGTAAAACCTCAACAGCCATGAGCCAACGGATAGATTTTTATTGAGAGAAATAGAAAGCACTGTTTTCAAGATTTTGTAAGTGACACGAGAGGAATGAGTGGCATGTCTTGCTTTTTCACGTGTTTCACTAGAATGTTTTTAGCTGGCTGATGCTGTTCCTGTTACTTTAATTTTAATAGCACTTTCAGCTCTGCTACCACCGACACACACATGCTAGGGGTGAGGGGTAGGGTTAAGGTGAGCTGGGTGAGACTGTATTTAATGAATATTATTGAGAAAAATATATATTTTAAATAGTAATATGAAGAGAAATATGTAGTTAAAAAGTAAGGAAAAATTATTGAAATGATGAAAAATATTATTTTATTGAAGAATGTGTGGTTGAAAATAAGTTTTGAAAGAATGTGTGTCAAATATGGACTAAAACCTAGAACGGTGATGGAAAATAATATTATTAGTCGATTGTAAATAGAGAAATAATCAATAATTTTAACACCGAATCAAAATCTTAAAATGTAAAAGTTTGTAAACGGACTCTATATTGGTGATTATTATACTTTAATTGTTTAGAGCATGTTTCAGCCCCATTTTTAAAGTAAGAATACATTTTGGAATAGTAAGTTGACGGAGAATGTGTAGTTAAAAAATAAGGAAAAATTTTGAGTTTGCTTTTAATATAGTTTCATTGAAGAAAGCGTGATTAAAAAAAAGAAATTGAAAATTTTATTTTAAAAATAATGGAGATCAAACAATGTCTTAATCTATAACAAAATATTTCATGCTTAGATTATTGTCAGATTTTAATATCATAATGTGGAGAATAAATAATTCTACTAGGGATTATTCATCTTTCACATCTAAATGAACAATGGACTAGTAAAAATTTGGTTGCGATGTTTAGAAAAATTCTTGTAGTAGCTATTATTTTACATTGGTCAGCCCTAAATCCTACATTTTAAATTTTAAATTCAAAAATCAGCTGTTTCAAATTCAAAAATCTAATATAATTATTTTTTCATTCAATAATCATTTAATAATTATTATCTAAAAAATTATATATCATTTATCTCTACTCTCTATTAGCGATTCTCCTTTTTCTCTTTCTATCTACAGCAACCAACGAAAATATCTCAATCTCTCTCTCTATTGCAATTGATCGTGGGCGTCTTCTTTCTTCTCGAGCATTATCATCTTTGAAAGCACCCTAATCACCACTTGTTGACATACAAAAAATGAAGCCCAATTAAATGGTCCAAGAATTGGAGCCTAGTTAGGGAGTTCAAGATAGAGAAAATTACCATAAACAAGGTGTTTAGTTTTAACTTTTTAATAATCAGGTTTTGGCTTTTTTTAATCAAAAATCAGGTTTTATTATTTTTAATTAATAATAATGTTATAAAATAAAAATAATATATTATACCCACCCTACTACCTACCCCACTAATAAAACCTTAACCTAATCCATTAAACCTCATTTCATTTCTCTCAACCTTTCTCTCAAC